TGATTTCAATCAGCAGGTGATTAACAGGCTTCTGCAGAGCCTGATGAGCTGCTGCACAGGTGACTCAACCAGTTAATCAAGTGTGTTGGAGCAGAAAAACCACAAAACCTGCTGGATACCGGTCCTCCAGGACCAGGATTGGGCACCCCTGTTCTAGTTGATCTTCAAGCTCAAGGAACATCCGTGTCAAATTGCACCATTTGTTGTTGCAGAAGGCCACAGCTGGGATTCAAACCTGTGACCTTCTTGCTGTCAGACAGCAGTGCTACCCACTTGTGATTTACAGTCTGTCATGCACATTTAGTTTAAAAACAAAAACTTAAAGCCAAGTTTGTATCACAACTGTTCTGAACAATCTAACTTTGGGCTTCTTATTAAATCACGTTGATGCTGATGAGAAACAAAGATGATGGAACTCTAAAATATGACTGAGCTGCAGGTTTTCACCACACCGCCCCCATTCCACATACAAGCTGCTAAATTGAGCTACAGAAGACATTAGGCTGATTCACCTCAGGCTGGAGAACTTCCACTGCTTTCGTCAATCCCAGATATAACTGAAACTGAGCCAAGAAGAGATGTGGGAAAGCTTTTATCAGAGCTTTCATTTATGTTTACCTGCTTTCTCCTCTTAATGTTTTCAGGAGGAACGTTTAAATTTGTTCATTTAGACTTCTGACATTATTTTATTGGCAAATGTTAAATGTAGTCCTATTTGAATAAAAGTGTTCTGACTTGAGCCAGGTTCTGTTGGGGGGGGGGGGGGGGGGGGTTCTTTCTGTTAAAGAGTTTTCCTCTCCACTGTCGCTACATGCTTGCTCAGTATGAGGATTGCTGTAAAGACAGACACAACAAGTCAGTGACTTGATGCAATTGGAATGTTTACTTTGTGAAGTGCCTTGAGACAACTTGCTAGTTGGCGCTATGTAAACAAAATGAACTGAATTGACTTCTTAAAGGTGTGGCTGACTGAAAAATCGTTTTAATGATTATTTTTGATTATAATTGGTCATTCTGAGTTTTTCATCCAAGCTGAACATGAAAATAGTCTCCTATTTGGGTTTTCATGAGCTGTACGCCAAAATCATCAATATTAGAAACAATAAAAGGCGTGAACTACTTCAGTTGTGTGTAATGAATCTAATATATATGAAAGTCTAATGTTTATCAGTACATTACAGAAAATGATTAACTTTATCACAATATGCTAATTTTTTAGAAGGACCTGTACATGCATCTAATTGGTAAAATCATTAGACAGCATGGGATAAACTTCCACTGTTATGCTGACGATACTCAGTTATATTTATCCATAATCCCTGATAAACCTAATCGGTTGGGTAGATTACAGGCTTGTCTTGAAGACATAAAAAATTGGATGACTCTAAACTTCATACTTTTAAATCAAGACAAAACTGAAGTTCTCATCTTTGGACCCGAAATTCAAAAAAGGAAATTGCTTAGCCAATCACCTGACCTGAACAGCATTACATTAGTCCCTGAGAACAAGTAAGGAACCTTGGTGTTATCTTTGATCAGGACATGTCATTCAAATCCCAGGTTTCACAAGTTTGTAGGATTTCCTTTTTCCACCTTCGGAATATTGCTAAGATTAGAAGCATCCTTTCCAGGAGTGATGCTGAAAAACTAGTTCATGCATTTATTACATCAAGACTGGATTACTGTAATTCATTACTCTCAGGAAGTCCACAGAATGTAGTTAAAAGTCTTCAGCTTGTCCAAAATGCTGCAGCTAGAGTTCTGATGAGAATTAAAAAGAGAGATCTTATCTCTCCTGTCTTAGCTTCCCTACATTGGCTACCTGTTAAATTCAGAATAGATTTTAAGATCCTCCTTCTCACATGCAAAGCTCTTAATAATCAAGCTCCATCATACATCAGTGACCTGATTGTTCCATACGTTCCTAACCGAGCACTTTGCTCTCAGACTATAGGTTTACTGGTGGTTCCCAGAATAACTAAAAATAGGATGGGAGGCAGATCTTTTAGTTATCAGGCTTCTCTCTTGTGGAACCAACTCCCAGCTTTAGTCCGTGAGGCAGACACCTTGTCTACTTTTAAGACTAGGCTTAAACCATTTTTATTTGATAGGGCCTATGGTTAAAATCTGATGTTAGCCTAAATCTGGACAAGTGGGGGAGTAGAGGAAGATGGAGTGTACAGTCGGTAAAGACGGCTCTCCCTTGCCCTGCCTCCAACATGCCTCCATCTAAATAGGATAGATTATCCAGAGTTATCTCTGTAGTTATGCTGCTATAGGCTTAGACTGCTGGAGGATACACTGACCACTTTTCACACTCGACTGCTTTCTTCTACAATTTGATCTTTAACTGTATTATTTCCTGCTATTTCAGCTGTTAACTTTATTTTTTCTCTAAGTGCTTTTCTCCCCAGAAGAAGCTACAACGATGTTCTGCTGAGCTGTGGTGGCCTCATGGAGGGGGCCATCGTCTAGCACACTGCTGCTAACCACTTAAACATTCTCCCTCTCCTGATAATAACTTTTTACTTTCTTTGACATTGAATGTGCTAATACTAGTTTACTCGTTTAATTATAGATCCACTAGGATAAATACAATAAAGTTGATCTTTCACCAAATAGAATATTTACTAAGACATCACAATATAACTATAGACTCATTACTTGGTGTGTGTGTGTGTGTGTGTGTGTGTGTGTGTGTGTGTGTGTGTGTGTGTGTGTGTGTGTGTGTGTGTGTGTGTGTGTGTGTGTGTGTGTGTGTGTGTGTGTGTGTGTGTGTGTGTGTGTGTGTGTGTGTGTGTCTGTCTGTCTGTCTGTCTGTCTGTCTGTCTGTCTGTCTGTCTGTCTGTCTGTCTGTCTGTCTGTCTGTCTGTCTGTCTGTCTGTCTGTCTGTCTGTCTGTCTGTCTGTCTGTCTGTCTGTCTTCTCGATCCCCAGTGAGTCGTGGTGGATGGCTGCTAATACTGAGCCAGGATCCTCTGGAGGTTTCTTCCTGTTAAAGGGAGTTTTCCTCTCCACTGTCGCTAAATGCTTGCTTAGTATGAGGATTGCTGTAAAGTGACTTGATGCAATTTGCTGGGTTCCTTATATAGGAAACTTTTTTCTGATTGGCTTAATGAACTGACCTGTATTGGAATGTTTACTGTGTGAAGTGCTTTGAGACGACTCTTGTCGTGATTTGACGATATATAAATAAACTTGAATTTAATTGAATCCTCACCGCAAATACCTTGCAGAGTGCTAATGTTTTTAGCAGTTACCTCAGTGTTGTAATGTGGAACTGTGGAGGGTGAAGATTAAACAGTTGGAGGTTTTTTTTTTACTTCAAACTAAACGAGACACAAACTGTTAACTTTGGAGCAGGATGGTGTCTGTTGCCTTTTGTTGGGAATCAATAACCTACTTATCACCAAGTGTTTACAATGCACTACCGGCATGTTTGCTACGTTTGTTACCATACTGGGATTTCGCCTGAAACAACAGTGTTTGTTGTAAATGTTTTGTATGCATACGTGCGTACAATGTTAAATGTACATTTTCAATAAACAAACCTAGTGTTTTAAACGTTCAAGTAGACACAAAATCTTGTTTTTATTCATTCTGCTGGTAGTTAATTTTGCTCAAATTTAAATAGAGGCCTCCCTGTAATTCTGGCCTCCGTTCAATAAAGGCCTGAACCAGGATGTGCCTGAGTAAATAAAGGCCCGGGCCTGCATTAGAGTATTAACAGTAACCTTTTTAAATTTAATTTGCTTTATGAACCTCATTTGATCTTATTAGTCTTTGATTCTTTTGCTATTTTGATGTGGCCTAATTTCCTTTGTGAAACACTTTGCGATTTCTCTGTGATCGATGCTTCATAAATTAACTTTACTTATGCACTAAAAAAAGCCTCCGAATGCAGACTTCTTAATTGTTTATTTGTTTTTGTAAAAACATATTCCATGAACCACTAGCAACTAGTTATTTGTTTTCAAAATGATGAATCTAAATGACACAAAACTCCAGCATAAAGGCATTTGAATATTTTCCTCCACTGAAGAATCGCCTTTTATTCTACTTTCCATGTTGTTGCATTGTCACAGAAAAGGGCTTTTAAAAGGCAGATTTATCAAAAGAGACGTGTCAGAATCTGAGTAGTTTCCTGTGTTATGAGGGGTGAATAATAGGAAGGGACAGATTCCTTTTGATCACAAAGAAGGAGCTCAACAAAAGCTGAAATGTTCTTTAATGAAAGAAATGGCAAAAACTCCTATAAATGATTTTTATCATGAAGTAAAAAGAAACTTTTTCTACTTAAAATTCATGTTTGAATAAAGCAGTAAATTGGCAGCAAGTCCTCAACTTACCTTTCTGCATCTGCAGGTGAGTTTCTGCGACTGAGGATGAGTTTGCAATTTGTTTTTTTTTCCAAGGCCAGGAGGAAACCCACTGGGAGATGGTGCTGGGCAGGTGCAAAATCAATTTCCAATCTCAGCAGATAAAGAATTTTTTTTCCCAGCAGCCTTCTGCTGAGTTCAGTAAATCAATTCAATGGGGGAAAAATGCTAGATAAAATCTCACTTGAGCTTAAAAAAAGGGCAAACAAATAGAAAGGTCACCTCCTAAAGAGTGCCACAAAGAAGAATTGATGCAGAATCAACTGGTGTTTCTCTGCAGTTTGTAAATCAAACAAAAACATGAGTGAACTTTTCCTCTGCTGAGAGCTGCATAATGCTCTGAAGTCCGAGCCGACTGAAAGAAAAGAGATGTCAAAGGTCTCCTGCTGTCAGAAAACGAAACACCAGCCTGCTGCTGAGTTCAACTTTTGGCCCTAAACTAGGAAACAGTCACGACCCGTCGTCTCCCTGCTCCATCGGCAGCGGGTTTGTTTGTGTCTGTTTGCTGTGGCTATGACGGATGCTTGGCCTCTCTGCGTCAGTGTCCGGACAACTGCAACACACACACACACACAGGCAGAGAGGGATCCGGTTTTTATTATCAAAGCGGCCCGAGGTCAGGATGTAAATCTCTGTGCTCGCCCCAACCCCCTGATCGACTTTTTATAACCCCTCCTCAGTTCATCCTCACTCTCTCACCCGTCTGCTAAAATAAACTCAGTGAGCTCAGTGCTGGAGGCATCCCCACTTCGGGTTTTTACAGACTGGTCCTGGTCCACTGAGAAGTGGGAGAACTGAGGCTGGAAGCATCTCAGGTCTGGTCCAGGAGAAAGTACCAGAACCACTGAGACTGGCTCAAAAACGGAGGGAACAGGAAGCAAAGGTAAGAACCAGAGCAAAGTTAGCATCGATTTCTGGTTGTCTCATCAGATAGTATGATTTGTATTTGGTTATGTTGGATAAATTACTAGTTTAACCTGCAAACTTGGTAAAACTTTCTCACTTTTGTTACTAAATATAAAGAACTTAACCCTTTCATGCAAGAATCAGAAAAAGTTAACTTAGTTTTTTGTTCCAAGTGAATTTTTCAAACTGGTTTCTTAGCATATGCTCAGGTGAATACACACATTTTGATTTTGCAATAAACATCTGACAAATGAATAAGAGATGAAGTGGCAACTATCAGTGCCCACACTCTTTTTTGAACAGCTGTCATCTGTAGGGACCACATATGAAAGGGTTAAGACAGATATTTAATAAGAAATTAAAGCTTTGTTTTAAAAAAATTTCCATATAAATATTCTCACCTATCAGTGTGCAACGGCTGAGGATGATGCATTCGGGGCTGGATGAAGTGACCAAGCAGAGGATGTTGCAGGCTAAGGTTCTGTCTCAGGAGGCCAGAGGAGGTGAGTGTGCACTGGAAGGAAGCAGGTGACTTTTTAGTTTATGCATTAAAACGTGAGGTGTTTTCCTCCTTATTCTGTCTGAGGGTGAGATCAGAGCCGGGTGTGTCAAGTGAAACTGAGCCAAGCATCAAGCTGCTTGGATACAAGTGGACAAAGATACCCCAAAATCCCAGGAGAGGCTGTGTCTCGTTGAAATTCTTCAAAAACATTCCAACAGCGACGATCCCAACAGCACTGTTTGTTTCCCAGCGCCATCCCGCCTGCTGGGATTTGAAACTAAGTCTCGTAAACTCAGCAAAATGTGACTCTCACCACTGAATTTCTACAGAGGCCGATCAAAGGCAGCTCCTCCAGGGTGGCGTACACCCAGACCTCTCCCGACACTTATCACGCGCGAGTAGAAAGGGCCATCTGCTCCGACACAAGCCTTTCATACAGAGATCCTATTTATACGCCCCGTTTCCCGTTTAACTCTGGAGCACAACAAACATTACACACCACTTGACATCATCTTCGGGCTATTTCAGACCCCTCCGTCACGCCGTGATGGAGTACAAGAAGAGGCACAGAGGGAAAGCTGCATGGATACTTACGTGATGTTGCATCTGGTTTCAGATAAGTCCATCTCAGCTGTCTTATGTTGACAGAAAATAGAAGAGCAGTGGAGACTTGTTTGTTGCTTTTAATCTTCAAAGCCCCTTAATTAAAACCACACCATTGAAAAGGCTGTGAAAATATCAATAATGTGATTAAATGTTTGTTCAGACAGATTAGATGTTTATTATTTATTATTTCACTGCTGGAAATTTCAACCAAAGACGGATTTTTCCTATCTGTTTGATCTTGTTTGTTATTTTCCACTCATTCCTGCATTTTAGGAGAATCGAGGAGAGTTGGGATGGAGTTAAATTGAGAGGATCTCGAGTGTAAACAGAGAAAAGGAATGGGCTGTTTGAAAAGAAGGTTTAACAATAGGTTCATTAAAAGGGTTTGAGGGGAGGTGTGAATCAGAAGACATGTCATGGATTTGTGATCCCTCTGATCCCAGTTCACCATAGAAAATCTTTCTGAAACAAGAAGCCTCCCAAATGGGCTTCACAGAGATGGTGTAAATCCAAACATTTTCAAGAAGGACCATCATGCTGTGGTCTGATCTTTTTAACTGTGGCTGGCATCGTGTACAGAAACATCCGTGCAGATTATGGACTGGAAGCCCCGAGGTCAAAGTGGGTAACACCCCCTAAGGTGGTTGAGAACGAGAGAGCCAAGCTCCTGTGGGACTTTCAGATCCAGACCAACAAACAGGTGATGGCAAACCAATCAGACATTGTGTTGATGGACAGAGTTGTGGTTGATGGTGCAATACCAAGTGATGGCAACATGAGGAAAAAGGAACATGAGAAACTAGAGAAGTACCAGAGCCTCAAAGAAGAACATGAGAAAGCCTGGAGAGTGCAGACCCGTGGTCATCGGGGCAGTAACCCCCAAAGTGAAGGAGTGGCTAAAGCAGATCCTAGGAAGAACATCAGACATCTCAGTCCAGAAAAGTGCAGTTCTAGGAACAGCTAAGATATTGTGCAGAACTTGGTAAGTCAAGCTCATTCCCAGTGAGAGTTGGACTCTGTCAAGGCTGCCCTTTATCACCTATTCTGTTCATATGTTATGGACAGGTTTTCCAGGTGCAGCCAAGGTATTGAGGGGATCTGTTTTGGTAGCCTGAGGATCAGGTCTCTGCTTTTTGCAGATGATGTGGTCCTGTTGGCCTTATTGGACTGTAATCTCCGGCTTTCACTTGAGCGGTTTGCAGCCAAGTGTGATGAAGCAGGGATAAGAATCATCTCCTCTCGACTCCAACCAGGCCCATCATCCTAGATAGCTTTGCTCCTGTTTCTTTGCCTGAGTTAACCAAACTAGTTAACTCTATGAAGACCTCTGCATGCCCCCTCCACATCTTACCCTCATCTTTGTTTAAAAGTGCTTTTCAGTCCATCGGTCCCAGCGTGCTCTCTATAATTAATGCTTCTCTGGTTTCTGGTCAGGTCCCTTTAAGAACGCTGTAATCCACCCGCTTCTTAAAAAACCGAGTCTCGACCCCTCTCTCCATAGCAGCTTCAGACCCATCTCTAAACTTCCGTTCATCTCCAAGATCTTGGAAAAGGTTGTGGCTAAACAACTCACAGCTGCTCTTGATGAACATAACATCTATGATTGCTTACAGCCAGGTTTTTGTAGAGTTCACAGTGTTTCCCCTAAGAATTTTTCCAGCTGTGGTGGTGGTGTGTGTGTGTGTGGGGGGGGGGGGTCCAAGATCATTACTGGGCTGGCCCTATTAAACACGTTCTACATCCCTGCTTAGTAGACTTAATTAAGTATTTTTAAGCCAGTACAAAAATGACTGAAACACAAATTTACTTATTTGGCATTATTGACCAATATCTTTGACTTAATTTATTTGTTAAGAACATCAACATGCATTACAGTGAACATTATAATAAAGTACATTTTTCTAATGCAGAGAGGAGACAACCCATGGAAGCACTGATTTGATCTCATTTCAGAGAAAAATAGAAACAGAGAGAGAAACAGATCAGATGCACCTAATAAATAAAATAACTAACAAACTCAGGAATCTGTTTCTTTGCTTCATTCTTCTGGTGCTGAAAATATCACAAATGCGGATCAAAGGACAAACACAGATGAATGCACCTCTTATTTATTATTTGGAAATGATTGGGTGTGGTTTACATCAATACATTATTTTAAATCTGAAATTGATATGGAATGATCAGAAGTTGCTATGTGTATTGATTATCTGAAAACTATTTACAGAGCAGCCTCAGAATTGAGATTAAATAGTTTTGATCGCAATAGTAAAGGAACTATTACAGAACAAGTTTTTCAATAAAATCAGAACATTATTATTTAAGTGCATGAATTAATGCATCTGAACTCATGCAGTAGGAACTAGGAAATATGAAATACTAGAACCATTTTATTTTAATTTGATTAAACCGATTTTTTTCCTAATGTTGTTGACATTTTCCCCACACACAGTTAAACAAAACAATGTTGAATGAGGTGTGTGTGTGTGTGTGTGTGCGTGCGTGCGTGCGTGTGTGTGTGTGTGTGTGTGTGTGTGTGTGTGTGTGCGTGCGTGCGTGCGTGCGTGCGTGCGTGCGTGCGTGCGAGCGAGTGAGTGAGTGAGTGAGTGAGTGAGTGTGTGTGTGTGTGTGTGTGAGTGAGTGAGTGAGTGAGTGAGTGAGTGAGTGAGTGAGTGAGTGAGTGAGTGAGAGGGGAAGAGAGTTAAAATAATAATAAATAAAAAACTCCGAGCGGAGTGGAGGCAGTGACCGACGCATGCACGAGCCGTTTTCAGCTCTGTCTTGTCAAATGCACCACGTACGTTACGAAAAATTTAACTTTAAATATTCAACCGAAAAAGAGGCGAGCTGAAGAAAACCTAGGGAGACTGAAGAAACGTGAGCAACAGTGAAGCAAGCACAGATAGACCCGTTACTGTCTGTGTGTGTGCGTGGATGCCTGGGCCGAGCTGACTGAGCTCCCGGCTGCAGTTTTGTGTGTAGGGAGGGGCGGGCGCTCCATGTGACTGGCCAATCACAGAGCGTGAAGACAGTCAGTTACCCAATGACGATTTTCCTTCAGCGCGATTACAGATATTTACGAGTTTTACTCGTTTCATGCTCGTATTCGTCAAAAATGCTTTATCCGTACAGGATACTAGTCTGAAATGAGTATCCGGCTCATCCCTAGCTGTAACCATCCTGCCCTGCCTCCCCCTCCTTGCTGCCTGCCGGCTGTGATCACAAGCAACAACAGAGTAGTTCCTGCTGCTTCTTCGGGAAACGGCGCAAAAAAAAAAATCAACTTGGAATCTTGTAGGCGTGGCGCTGGGATTTCAGCCGTGGTCATTGGTTGATATCTCTTTAGCTCCGCCCCCTGACAGATATTAGGCCCTGAATAACACATGCATAATGCAATTCACACCAAACTACATGCCAATGATTGTTGTCAACCAACAAACTGCTCCATGGGATATTTTCCTAAATTTGGCACAGCGTCCCCTAGATACAATAAAACCTTTGTAACTTCTACAAAAATGCTCCAAACTATATCAAACATGGTGGGAGTCATCACGCAACTGCAATCAACACGTCTGTGCTCACTCGTTCAAATCACTTTAACTCCGCCCCCTTACAGCCTTTTGCCTCTAGATGACCCATGCAACATTTGATTGATGCCAAATTACCAGGAAACCATCTTTGATGAGCAAAGATGACCTCTATGGCATTTAGTTGTAAATGGTCCCAGCGCCCCCTAGATAGGTTCAAACTTTATTAACTTCTAAAGACAAGGCCAGAATGGCATTATACCTGGCTTGTGTCATCACGTGACTGCACCAAACACATTGATGTGGTTGTTTGTTCAAACCCCTTTAGCTCCACTCCCTTTCGGCACTCTGGCTCCAGATAACACACACAACGTCTGATTGATGCCAAATTAACAGAAAACCATCTTTGTCAACCAAAGCTGACCTCAGTGGGGTTTTTCTGTAGTTGGTCACAGCGCCCCCTAGATAACTTTAACCCTTAATAACTTTAAAAAACGTGGTCAGAATAGCATTAAACTGGGTCTGTGTCGTCATACCACCAGTGTGGTTAAGATACAGGTGCTGGCCAGTAAATTAGAATATCATCAAAAGGTTGAAAATATTTCAGTAATTCCATTCAAAACGTGAAACTTGTACATTATATTCATGCAATGCACACAGACCAATGTATTTCAGATGTTTATTACGTTTAATTTTGATATTTATAGGTGACAACCAATGAAAACATCAAATCTGGTATCTCAGACAATTAGAATATTCTAAAGGCCAATGAAAAAATGTTTGTTTCTCTAATGTTGGCCAACTGAAAAGAATGAACATGAAAAGAATGTGCATGTATAGCACTCAATACTTAGTCGGGGCTCCTTTTGCCTCAATAACTGCAGTAATGCGGCGTGGCATGGACTCGATCAGTCTGTGGCACTGCTCAGGTGTTATGAGAGCCCAGGTTTCTCTGATAGTCATCTTCAGCTCCTCTGCATTGTTGGGTCTAGCGTATTGCATCCTCCGCTTCACAATACCCCATAGATTTTCTATGGGGTTAAGGTCAGGCGAGTTTGCTGGCCAATCAAGGACAGGGATACCATGGTCCTTGAACCAGGTGCTGGTGGTTTTGGCACTGTGTGCAGGTGCCAAGTCCTGTTGAAAGGTGAAGTCTGCATCCCCATAAAGTTGGTCAGCAGCAGGAAGCATGAAGTGCTCTAAAACTTCCTGGTAGACGGCTGCATTGACCCTGGACCTCAGGAAACAGAGTGGGCCAACACCGGCAGATGACATGGCACCCCACACCATCACTGACGGTGGAAACTTTACACTGGACCTCATGCAACGTGGATTCTGTGCTTCTCCGCTCTTCCTCCAGACTCTGGGTCCTTGATTTCCAAAGGAAATGCAGAACTTGCTTTCATCAGAAAACATAACTTTGGACCACTCAGCATCAGTCCAGTCCTTTTTGTCCTTGGCCCAGGCGAGACGCTTCTTGCGCTGTTTCTTGTTCAAGAGTGGCTTGACACACGGAATGCGACACCTGAATCCCATGTCTTTCATGAGTCTCCTCGTGGTGGTTCTTGAAGCGCTGACTCCAGCTGCAGTCCACTCTTTGTGGATCTCCCCCACATTTTTGAATGGGTTTGTCGTCACAATTCTCTGCAGGGTGCGGTTATCCCTAGAGCTTGTACACTTTTTTCTACCACATTTTTTCCGTCCCTTCGCCTGTCTGTTAATGTGCTTGGACACAGAGCTCTGCGAACAGCCAGCTTCTTTAGCAATCACCTTTTGTGTCTTGCCCTCCTTGTGCAAGGTGTCAATGATTGTCTTTTGGACAGCTGTTAAGTCAGAAGTCTTCCCCATGATTGTGGTGCCTTCAAAACAAGACTGAGGGACCTTTTAAAGGCCTTTGCAGGTGTTTTGAGTAAATCAGCTGATTAGAGTGGCCGCAGGTGTCTTCTATATTCAGCCTTTTCAGAATATTCTAATTTTTTGAGATACCAAATTTGGAGTTTTCATTAGTTGTCACTTATGAATATCAAATTTAAATGTAATGAACATTGGAAATACATTGGTCTGTGTGCATTGCATGAATATAATGTACAAGTTTCACGTTTTGAATGGAATTACTGAAATATTTTCAACCTTTTGATGATATTCTAATTTACTGGCCAGCACCTGTAGAGTATCCCCTAGTGGTGAGACGTGTAATTTAATGGTGAGCTCAGAGGAGATGCTGAGTCAGGGTGAGGTGCAGATGAGGAGACCGTTCGCGGTTTCTAGTGTCGGGGTGGTCAACGTTTCTGTTCTGCGGACGTGCCCGGGTGCCCCGGGCTGCCAGCCAGGCCGGAGTGGCGCGGAGCTGCGAGGGCAGAACGACGCTGCTTGCAGCTTTAATTTAATCTTATTCTGAATTTCTGTTATGTTGTGTGACAGGTTTGAACTTGGGGAAGAAGATCAGTGTTCCTAAAGATGTGATGATCGAAGAGCTCAACCTTTCCTCTAATCGAGGCTCCCGCATGTTTCAGGAGAGACTGAGGAGAGCCGAGAAGTTTACCTTGGAGAACGCCTCCGGCAGCGCTTACATCAATGTAAGGAGCTGAAAGACAACATGGAGCAGGGTTAATTCCACTTAACTCCAATATACATTCAAAAATTAAGACTAGAGCTCAGCTGGCACAATATTTTTCAAGTCACAGTAAATTTCTTCAAGCATACTTGGTGTTCTGCTTCTATTAGTCAGAAATTGTTGCTATAATTGGGGCGTATAACTGATGATGCTTAAGGTCATCTGAGGTTTGAATGCATCCACTGATAGCTAATGTGTGTTTCAGGTTCATCTTGAGGCTGATCCTCCCCAGCAGATAGCCCTAGAGCCACAGGGAGGAAAAGAGAACCAGGCTTTCTCCATCCCCGGTAAGCATAGCCTGATCATGAACCTTCAGAAGACTGTAGCAAAGAAGGGCTGTCCCGATGTCCTTGCTCCAGGTAAACACTCGGGTGAACTGTAGATTACCACAGACTACAACATCGCCAAAGCTTGGGCAATGCATGGACACCATCAGAGCTCACCTTAGCAATGAAAATGCAGCGAGAGCATGAGTTTGTTTTATTATAATTAAACTCAGGGGAGTTGGCAGTTTGTGGAAAGTCATTATCTGTCAGCATCTTTAATGAGAGGCTGCTGTAAATGTGGCCTGGCAAAAGGCACTGCTTCCAGTCTGACTGATGAGCGACTAATCTCTGTTTATTATCGGGGATTCACACTGAGATCTAATTACTGTCATTCCTATTCCTGACAGGAGTGGCATCACAGAAATTTGTATGTAAATGTTATCCACGTGTGCTTTAATCCAGCATGTCTGTATTCCTTTGGTAGATTTAGCATTAAACTGAATAAATATTCCTTTTGTCAACTTAGAGATCCACATTTCAAAGACTAAATCATATCTTTTACAAGCATACCAGACCATGGACGTAGTTTGGGGGGGGCATGTCCCCCCCATTTTTTCCAAAGTCAATTTTTGTCCCCTGCATTTTACTGTTCAAAAACAATATTACGCTATATTAAAGAGACTGGTTGAGCACTAGGACCAAGCAGAAAACACCACTTGTGTTTTAGCCTGTTTCTCATTAGAACCGCCCATAAGCGCATCTGTTGGCTCTGCTGATACTTGCTAACGTGTGATTGGCTGTTCCTGCCACCTGTGTACTTCACAGCTCTGCATTCCTGACATTGTATAAAAGAGCCTCTAGACTAGTTTTAGACATATTTTTGTATACTTACTGTAAAGACATCCCCCCCCCCCCCCAAAAGTCAAAACTACGTCCATGTACCAGACCTTTAGCTTGATCCATCGTTTCTACATTTATTCAATGTTTGTTATTTTGCCTTTTCCAGGATATTCAAGACCATTAAAGCAAATTCCCCATGAGAAGTTCAACACAACCGTAATCCCAAAGTCCTACTGCTCCCCATGGAGGGAAGCTTTGGGAGACGAGGAGGTTTTGAACGCCCTCAACACCCAGCTGCCCCAAGTCCCACAAAGACAACAGCCTGCCAACTACAGGTGCTTCAACAGGTAAATCTCTCCACCCGTCTACTCGGTCTGTGCAAATAAATCAAACATTGCTGCGTTTCAAGTGTGGCTGTCGAGACCCTCTTACCTAAAATTAAACTCCCAGATGACCTAACGGCGTTATCCATCTTCATCTCGTCCCTCGGCTTCATTCCATGTTTCCAGTTTGAAAATGAATGCCGTCCATGGCTTGCACCTCCTTGGAGTGCGGCAATGAGATGGTTATTTTCATCTCTGGCACTTGACAGATGATCCACCAGGCTGAGGAGGGAGGATGGGGGTCTACGAGCTTTTCATGGCCACCACAAGATATACTGCACACGAAAAGGGAATCGCCTTTCTCACGGCACAACAACTGTTGGGCTTGGGCAGATGAGCGACTCAGCCTTGACCTAGTCAAATCTGTCAATCAGATTCTGTCAGCCGGTCTGGAAATTGACCCCCACCTCCTTCCTGTGGAGGGATCCACTTACACCCTTAAGATTATGAAATTACAATGCCTTAATTAAAGCTGAGCTCTCCTAATGGCCTGTACAGAAAGAGGTCAGGTTCAGCTCGACTCTCCCTCCAGGCTTTCAGCTGGTGAATATCGTGTGACCAGTAAAACAATCCTTCACTTATCAGGACGGATTATTGTGTGAGGACCATTAAAGCTTGGTAAGGAGGCTCTCCTTTATTTATGTTTTCTTTAATCAGATCTCCTATGCCATTCGGGGGCATGATGGCCAGCAAGAGAGTGATTCCAGTGATTGGCTTTGAGGCTCTGGAGTCCCAGAATCTTCCTGGTGAGACACTGGACCGGATGTGCCAAAGACCCAACTTCAACAGAGCGCCCAGAGGATGGGGATTCGACTTCAGCCCCGAGTCTAATGAACTCTGATGAGAAGTTAACAAGCTACAGACTGGAACACAAACCTCCCACAAGGCCATCGCTCTGCTCATCATAAGATTTGTTTGATGGTAGATTTATACAAGTTTGAGAGGAATCCATCCCTGGTTTGTCAGTCTTACAGATCCTCACCAACTTACCCAACAACCTGCTTCTCGCTATTCTGCTTTTATTTTTTTCTCAACAAAAACACAAACCCACCAACTTCTCTGCAGGGATAAAACACACAAAGAATAGCTGACCTAACTGAATAATTTTAATGATTTGAAAACATTCAAAGAAACTCTTACAATGATTTAAGATGTTGAATGTCAAGAATGTGTCAAATAAAAAAGTACAGTCAGTGTAACTGAAAATGAATGGATGTTCCTCAGTGTTCAGCTCTGTTAGCTTGCAGAACGAGACAAATACAAGTTTCACCTAAAGAATGTGTTCTCTTATGTACATCAGCTCCAGTCACACTGGCTGTTCTCGGTACGTTGGAAGTCTTTAACTATTTTGTTACGCATCAACTGTAAGAAGGGACAAAGTCACCGGGTCAGGTCCTGGACTGGCTTTTCTCATGTCACGAACTGTGCTCTTTCAGTCCATTTGCTGCTCTGCAGGTGGGATTAATAAGAAATAACTAAACCCAGTGCAGCTCATTTCCTCTGAAGTAGTCTTCAGGTCCACAGCAGCTTTGTATAAAAACACACCCGGCCACGTCTGACAAGATCGAGCACAAAGGACGCCTGACGGCACAGCGGCTCTGTTCTAGCAGCTACTCAGTGTGATGTGAAGCAAGTGCAGCATGAGCACCCATGCGCTGAGGATCCTGGGATGGGTAATGGATCGTGCCCGGAGGTCTCATCGTTATAGGAGGGGGGACAGGGGGGGCCATGGGCCCCATGGGGTGAAACATGGGCGGGCCGAAACCTGAGTGAGCAAATAAAAAAACAAAAAGTCAAGTATTTTCTGAATTATTGACTCTAGTTTAACGTCCAAATGGTTTCCCGTCGTTTGTACCTGGAGGAGGTGGGTTTATGCCTGGTGGGGGTGGGATTGCAATGTTCATGATGGCTGGAGAAGTGGCAGGGTCCAGGTTGAAGTAGTTGGCAGGAGCCTCGTCGTCTAGAGCTGGGGGTGGGGGCAGTGCTGGTATAAACAGACACAAAACAGATTAAATAATATTAATGTCTTTCTCTGCTACGTTTTAACTGAAACCCTTGTTTTTCACTCTCTCATTACACACGTGGACAAAATTGTTGGTAGTAGGGCTGGGCGATATGGACCAAAACTTCTATCTCGATATCTTTTTGCTGGATTCCGATATACAGGGAGTGCAGAATTATTAGGCAAATGAGTATTTTGTCCACATCATCCTCTTCATGCATGTTGTCTTACTCCAAGCTGTATAAGCTTGAAAGCCTACTACCAATTAAGCATATTAGGTGATGTGCATCTCTGCAATGAGAAGGGGTGTGGTCTAATGACATCAACACCCTATATCAGGTGTGCATAATTATTAGGCAACTTCCTTTCCTTTGGCAAAATGGGTCAAAAGAACGACTTGACAGGCTCAGAAAAGTCAAAAATAGTGAGATATCTTGCAGTGGGATGCAGCAGTCTTAAAACTGCAAAGCTTCTGAAGCGTGATCATCGAACAATCAAGCGTTTCATTCAAAATAGTCAACAGGGTCGCAAGAAGCGTGTGGAAAAACCAAGGCGCAAAATAACTGCCCATGAACTGAGAAAAGTCAAGCGTGCAGCTGCCAAGATGCCACTTGCCACCAGTTTGGCCATATTTCAGAGCTGCAACATCACTGGAGTGCCCAAAAGCACGAGGTGTGCAACACTCAGAGACATGGCCAAGGTAAGAAAGGCTGAAAGACGACCACCACTGAACAAGACACACAAGCTGAAACGTCAAGACTGGGCCAAGAAATATCTCAAGACTGATTTTTCTAAGGTTTTATGGACTGATGAAATGAGAGTGAGTCTTGATGGGTCAGATGGATGGGCCCGTGGTTGGATTGGTAAAGGGCAGAGAGCTCCAGTCCGACTCAGACGCCAGCAAGGTGGAGGTGGAGTACTGGTTTGGGCTGGTATCATCAAAGATGAGCTTGTGGGGCCTTTTCGGGTTGAGGATGGAGACAAGCTCAACTCCCAGTCCTACTGCCAGTTTCTGGAAGACACCTTCTTCAAGCAGTGGTACAGGAAGAAGTCTGCATTCTTCAAGAAAAACATGATTTTCATGCAGGACAATGTAAGTACTCCACAGCGTGGCTGGCAAGAAAGGGTATAAAAGAAGAAAAACTAATGACATGGCCTTCTTGTTCACCTGATCTGAACCCCATTGAGAACCTGTGGTCCATCATCAAATGTGAGATTTACAAGGAGGAGTGTGTGACCGTGACCCCCACCACCACCACCCCCCACCCCCCCTTACTGGTCTAGTCCTGGTTTAGAGAGCACGTGCACTTCCTCATTGCGTGCAATGATGGCTCGTGCTCTTCTTATGCGCTGTGTTGAAGTTCAGAATGTGTTTACCGGTAGTTGGTGGATTTAACCACATAAACTTTCCACATGAAAAATATCATGTGTGTGTTACTAGTAGGCCAAAGAAAATAGTGTGATTTGAATTGTGTTTTATTAAAAAGGCAGCAAAAGCAAATATGAGTTCGGTTGTGCTTTGAGTGCTATTAATTAATCATCAAATCCATCAAAGTCCTCATCTTCTGTATCTGATAAGAACAACTGGGCTAGAGTACAGGCAGTCTTCCTCTTAAAAATCACCATAGGTGGCAGCTTCTGTCCATTAGCATGGCAGCCAAGCACAACAGTAAAAGCTGATTTTTCGTGTCTCGTTGTGCGTATCGCTACCGTGCTAGTCCCCTTCTTCTCAACAGTGTCATTCACCGGGAAGTCAAAAGTGAGCGGCACTTCGTCCATGTTGGTTATGTGGCTGGGCTGGATGTGTTTGTCGGCAATCTTCTTACTGCAGTAGGAGCGGTAGACGGACAGCTTTTCTTTGTAATCCACTGGAAGTTGCTGCGCCACCGTAGTCCTTGCCCGGATGGAAAGATGGCGGCGTTTCATAAAATGAAAGCACCAAGACGGACCTCCTGGAAAATGTTCAATGTTCATTTCTTGTGCGAGCGTTACTGCTCTCAGACGAATGGTGACGGTAGAGACGCTTCTCCCAGCTGTCCTCAGCTCGTTAATCCATTGCTCGAGGTGGTCTTCCAGCTCAGGCCACCTGGCTTTGTGCCCGCAGAAACACAGCCGCATCTTTACTTGTCGGAGTTCGTTTTCCAACTTCCTCCACTTGCGAACCATGGACTCATTAATGCTGAATTCTCTCGCCGCTGCTCTATTCCCGTGTTTCTCCGTGTAGCTGATCGCTTGCAGTTTAAACTGTGCTTCATAGGCGTGTCTCTTAGCAGATGCCATTCTCAGGGTTGTCAGAACAATGTTCAGCATACCGCGCACACCTGCCCTTTTGAACTATTCGGGGTCCGTCTTCGCTCACGTCCGCACGTTCACGCCACGCCCCTTGTCTTCTACTACGTTCGCGTCTCACAACAACACAATAGGCGAACCGCACCATAGGGCGCGGCGTACATTTTGGAGAAAATTTAAGACTTTTAGGTGCGCCTTATGGTCGTGAAAATACGGTACCTCAATTTCTGCTTCTGTGAAATTTCGCTTCCTTGATCTGCCTTGATCTACGGTCGCCATCGTCATTGGCGGAGCAATGCAGCAACAGCCTTATGTATATGCATGAGATCAACAAGGCACTTTGCATTGACTATTTATGGCAGTAAGTGGGTGTGGTGAGGGCGGGATGTGACTAAAGAGCAGCTGAGAAATTTTCTAGATAGTTTCTGATTTACGAAGCGGAGATTGTGTGCAGCTGTGCGTACTCCATGTTTGATAGATCACAAACCTACAGGTGCTGGCCAGTAAATTAGAATATCATCAAAAGGTTGAAAATATTTCAGTAATTCCATTCAAAACGTGAAGCTTGTACATTATATTCATGCAATGCACACAGACCAATGTATTTCCGATGTTTATTACGTTTAATTTTGATATTTATAGGTGACAACCAATGAAAACATCAAATCTGGTATCTCAGAAAATTAGAATATTCTAAAGGCCAATGAAAAAATGTTTGTTTCTCTAATGTTGGCCAACTGAAAAGAATGAACATGAAAAGAATGTGCATGTATAGCACTCAATACTTAGTCGGGGCTCCTTTTGCCTCAATAACTGCAGTAATGCGGCGTGGCATGGACTCGATCAGTCTGTGGCACTGCTCAGGTGTTATGAGAGCCCAGGTTGCTCTGATAGTCGTCTTCAGCTCCTCTGCATTGTTGGGTCTAGCGTATTGCATCCTCCGCTTCACAATACCCCATAGATTTTCTATGGGGTTAAGGTCAGGCGAGTTTGCTGGCCAATCAAGGACAGGGATACCATGGTCCTTGAACCAGGTGCTGGTGGTTTTGGCACTGTGTGCAGGTGCCAAGTCCTGTTGAAAGGTGAAGTCTGCATCCCCATAAAGTTGGTCAGCAGCAGGAAGCATGAAGTGCTCTAAAACTTCCTGGTAGACGGCTGCATTGACCCTGGACCTCAGGAAACAGAGTGGGCCAACACCGGCAGATGACATGGCACCCCACACCATCACTGACGGTGGAAACTTTACACTGGACCTCATGCAACGTGGATTCTGTGCTTCTCCGCTCTTCCTCCAGACTCTGGGTCCTTGATTTCCAAAGGAAATGCAGAACTTGCTTTTATCAGAAAACATAACTTTGGACCACTCAGCATCAGTCCAGTCCTTTTTGTCCTTGGCCCAGGCGAGACGCTTCTTGCGCTGTTTCTTGTTCAAGAGTGGCTTGACACACGGAATGCGACACCTGAATCCCATGTCTTTCATGAGTCTCCTCGTGGTGGTTCTTGAAGCGCTGACTCCAGCTGCAGTCCACTCTTTGTGGATCTCCCCCACATTTTTGAATGGGTTTGTCGTCACAATTCTCTGCAGGGTGCGGTTATCCCTAGAGCTTGTACACTTTTTTCTACCACATTTTTTCCGTCCCTTCGCCTGTCTGTTAATGTGCTTGGACACAGAGCTCTGCGAACAGCCAGCTTCTTTAGCAATCACCTTTTGTGTCTTGCCCTCCTTGTGCAAGGTGTCAATGATTGTCTTTTGGACAGCTGTTAAGTCAGAAGTCTTCCCCATGATTGTGGTGCCTTCAAAACAAGACTGAGGGACCTTTTAAAGGCCTTTGCAGGTGTTTTGAGTAAATCAGCTGATTAGAGTGGCAGCAGGTGTCTTCTATATTCAGCCTTTTCAGAATATTCTAATTTTTTGAGATACCAAATTTGGAGTTTTCATTAGTTGTCACTTATGAATATCAAATTTAAATGTAATGAACATTGGAAATACATTGGTCTGTGTGCATTGCATGAATATAATGTACAAGTTTCACGTTTTGAATGGAATTACTGAAATATTTTCAACCTTTTGATGATATTCTAATTTACTGGCCAGCACCTGTACTTGGTGTAAGTACTTTTTTTTGCTGAGCTTAAGTACGGTTTTAGTAAGGATGCTACGCAATGTTTGATAAATGAGACCCCTGGCCTGTGTCGGAAAGCTTGGTCTCAGTCGGAGGTCATGGATCTTGCAACAGGACAACGACCCAAAACACACAGATAATAACACCCAAGAATGGCTAAGAGGAAAACAATGGACTATTCTAAAGTGGCCTTCTATGAGTCCTGACCTCAATCCTGGTGAACATATTTGGAAGGAGCTGAAACATGCCGCCTGGAAAAGGCGTCCTTCAAACCCGAGAGACCTGGAGCAGTTTGCTCATGAAGAGTGGGCCAAAATACCTGCTGACAGGTGCAGAAGTCTCACTGACTTATACAGGAATCGTTTAATAACAGTGACTGCCGCAAAATATTGTGAAACAAAATATTAAGTTGGGGGTACCATCATTTTTGTCCAGGCCTGTTCCATGAGTTTATTTTATTATATAAATAATTCAGATGAAGTATGGTTAAAAAGAAATGTCTGACTTTCATTGGTTATTCTCATAGAATTTGTATTAATTATTCCTTTTGTTGTTATTTCTGTAACCATTGTGGGTTTTTCTTTCATTGACCAAAGGGTACCAACTATTTTGTCCGTGTGTGTATGTGCACTCAAACTCCAGACTCACCTCCAGGAAGCCCAGGTACAGGATCCAGTCTGATTCCCATCTCACTGATTCCATCCTTACCATCTTTGCCTCTTGCTGCCTGAGACCTAAAACAACAAACCACCTTTCTTTTGACATCAGCTCACTAGCTAACAAAAATGTGTACAGCTTAAAAACAGAAGAGTTGTATTCTTTACTGTACAGGGTGGGCCACTTATATGGATACACCTTAATAACATGGGAATGGTTGGTGATATTAACGTCCTGTTTGTGGCACGTTAGTATATTTGAGGGGCAAACTTTTCAAGATGGGTGGTGACCATGGTGGCCATTTTGAAGTCGGCCAACTTTTGTTTTTTTTAATAGGAAGAGGGTCATGTGACACATCAAACTTATTGGGAATTTCACATGAAAAACAATGGTGTGCTTGCTTTGAACGTAACTTTATTCTTTCATGAGTTATTCACAAGTTTCTATTTGTTCACAGCCATTGACATGTCGAAGAGGTTAACAGGTGAGGAGCGGATCGAAATTGTGTTGATATCTGTGAACGCGGTAACCGGGTCATTGCAGCAGATTTCAATGCAAGACACCCTACGAGACCACTCATCCCCCCATGCTACAGTTAGCAAACTGCTTGCTAAGTTTCGTGAAACTGGTTCAGTGTTGGCTTTGCCAAAATGTGGATGCATGAAAACTGTCAATAATGAAGAAATATCTGTGGCTGTCCTAGCTTCACTCAGCAAGAGCCCACAGCGTAGCACTCGTCGCATGTCACTGGAGAGTGGCATTAGTCGAACATCCCTTCAGCGGATATCATCTACTCACAAACGGCACCCTTACAAACTCCAGCTACTGCAGCATCTCAACGAGGATGACCCAGATCAGGGCACAGAATTAGCAGAATGGGCAAAACAAAAATTGGAAGAGGACCCTCAGTTCAAGCAGAAGATTTTGTTCAGTGATGAGGCAAACCTTTACATGAATGGTGAAGTTAACAGACAAATCCACCGCTATTGGTCTGACACTAACCCACATTGGATAGGTCCCTCCAAGACTGTTGGAACAAAAAAGTGATGGTATAGTGTGGTATACGGGGTACAAAGATAGTGAGGCCATTCTTCATCAACGGAAACCTCAAGGCCACTGGATATTTGAAATTGCTACATGATGATGTGTTTCCCTCTTTATGCACTGAAGCTGGCACGTTCCCTGAGTTTTTCCAGCAAGATGGTGCACCACCACATTATGGGTGTCCGGTCCGAGCATTCCTAGATGAACAGTTTCCTGGAAAGTGGATTGGTTGTTGTGGGCCAGTTGAATGGCCCCAAGATCTCCCGATCTGACCTCCTTAGACTTTTATCTTTGGGGTCATCTGAAAGCAATTGTCTATGGTGTGAAGATACGAGATGTGCAGCACCTGAAACTACGGATACTAGATGCCTGTGCTGGCATTTCTCCTGCGGTGTTGGTATCAGTGTGTGAAGAGTGAGAGAAGAGGGTTGCATTGACAATCCAACACAATAGGCAGCACTAGGGCTGCTCAATTAATCGAATTTTAATCACGATTACGATCTGAGTTTTGAACGATTATAAAAAACAAAACAAGCCGATTATTTGCTCCTCCCGCTTGCGCTGCCCTAAGTTGCAAATGAAGCGCTCCTCCACAGTGTTGCCAACTTAGCGACTTTGACGCTATTTCTAGCAGCTTTTCAGACCCCCTTCTTGACTTTTTAATCCTAAAAGTACCTAGCGAACATCTCAGAAACATCTCTGGTAACCCTTAGCTACTTTCTGGATAACGGTCGTCGACATTTCCTGCAGGTTAGCTAAACACTCCGCCTGAGCTCCGGACGGTTCTTCACAACATTAGGAAAGGGAATGATGTAGTGATGTGTCGGTCGCTAAAGACAGCTCTCGGAGCCGGCTCCTTGTTGGATTAACCAGAGTGAGTGACACACACACCGCACCTGCGGACTCCTGAGCAGCTAAAAACAGCTAAATGTGCGCGTGCAGCGCGCTAAACACACGTGCAGCTTGCCCGATTGCTGTGAGACCGGGTTGGGGGGTGGGGGGTGCAGCTGTGGTTGGGACAATTATTATATTAACTGATGGACTTGTAAATAAATAGTTTATAAATAAGGTAGAAATAAGTTCCTCACGCTGATAACTAATAACTAACCTCTCTGAGGACACGGTGCTCCTACAGCACCTTGACACGACTCAATAAATGTTATGCAACATTTTGTGAACATCAATTTATTTGCATTTATTTGTTATAAATGCCACTGTATAATTCTTGCTGTCAGTATTTGCAAGATATTGGTATTTGGTTCTGTACTGGTTAGACTTAAATGAGTTAAACCAAGGTCTATAGCCCTTGGGTCATAGACTATGAGCTATAAGTATATTGGTCTTTTTATAATCAGGAGTTATTTTAGTGATCATCTTGTTTCTTATTTTTGTCCTAATTGTGCCCTGAGCAATTTTATGACTGAATAAAAACAAATAAAATCATCATAAATTGAAAAATCGTCCTAAATAATCGTGATCTCAATTTCAGTCACAAAAATCGTGATTATTATTTTTGCCATAATCGAGCAGCCCTAGGCAGCACATTTCATAAGTGGTCAGAAACTTGTAAATAACTCAAGAAAAAATAAAGTTATGTTAAAACCATGCACACCATTGTTTTTCTTGTGAAATTCCCAATAGGTTTGATGTGTCACATGACCCTCTTCCTATTGAAAATACAAAAGTTGAATCCAAGATGGCCAACTTCAAAATGACCACCACGGTCACCACCCATCTTGAAACGTTGGCCCCCTCACATATACTCATGTGCCACAAACAGGACGTTAATTTAATCAACCATTCCCATTTTATTAAGGTGTATCCATATAAATGGCCCACCCTGTAGTTAAACTCCTAATGTGTGAGTAATAATCAGGTTTTAAATGCTCTGCTGACACGAGTCACGTGACAGCTGTTAGGGTGGTGGGTTCACCTCAGGCTGTTACAAACACACTCTCTGGTATTTAACAAGCACATTACCCCACGCCCTCCAGGTGGAGCTGGGCAGCATCTTACCTCCCCCACTTGACAGTCAGCCTCCGCCCATTAATGATTAGTTTGTTGAAGGACTTTTCGGCAGCCATCTCAGCCGCCTGCCGAGTGGCAAACTGGATGAAGGCACACTGCTGCCTTTGGACTATGGTAATGGTTCGAATCTCACCAAACTGATAGAAGTGACCCCTGCAAAAACACACAAACAGAATGTGGTTAGTAAAGTAAAAACGGTAAAAATATACAAATTAAATTTGAGTGGATCTATACTTCAGGTCTCCGTCGGTGACATTATCCCCCAGACCCCCGATGTAGAGGGTGGTGATGGACTTGTCCTCAGGGGGGTCCAGTCGGGGCATAGTCGAGGCTCGCTTCAGCAGCTTGTCAGCGACTGGGTCGTTGATGCCGTAGTAACGGTCTTTAATGTTCTGATCGGCCAGCGGGTCATCGGGATCTGTGGGCTTCTCGTGTCTGTAGATAAACGTGATGTCATAGTGAACAAACGTCACACCAACCAACAACATGCCAATAATGGCCTTACTCACTACTGACCCGAGACCCTGGTTGATCCAGTACACATTGGTGTTGTGAGTTATGCTGCTGTTATACTAAAGGCTGTTCGTTTTTGCGGAGCTTTGTTATTCATAAAATCACCAAAAACATGATTCAAACATGCTTCCTAAACCAGGAAGATGTGTCACAAGCTGGGTTTACAGATGCAGTCAGGACTGTTTAAAACAAACATTTTCATTGATGTTTTTAAATAAATATGATCCGATGCCGTCAGCCTGTCCATCAGCTTCATCTGATTCACCTCTTCTGGGGAATGAAGCTTTTCACCTAAACGACCCACCAAAACGCTGAAGTGTTTCGGTTTTAATGCAACAACATTTTATTTAAGATTCTGTTCCATTTATACGAAACGGGGATGACACTCCGTGACTCAAGAGCTGCAAATCTGGTTGGTTTTACTCATTTTACTCTGATTACTGACCTGCTAATATCTTCTATTGTTATTTATTATGTGCTAAAGACTGAGACACTTAATTTAGTTTATTTGCTGCCTAAAGTGAAATGAACACACACAACACAGAGATACTTTTAAATTCCACTAAAACAGCTGATCAGGATTCTGTCAGTGCGTTTACCTGCAGCCAGTAACCCTTTTAAAACCCGAATATTCACAATAAGCCGGTTCTGCACGGCCATTTAAACACCACCAAAAACCCAGATATGCTCTTACTACACCTGGGGTAACCCTTTTCTAACCCGGATGTTTGGTCATGTAAACCAAATCGGGATATCCCCATCAAAGCGTGTGTTCTGCGCATGCTCTGTTCGCAAGGAATCTTGGTCTTTTGAGTAGCGAGACGTCTTGTATGCATGTAAACAAGTTGGAAGCAACATGGCGAGTCGCGGCACAGCACCACACTTTTGGAGTGACGAGGAAACCTCAGTCTTCATTGGTCTGGAGAAAAGTATGAACATTATGTCTTGTTGACGGCCGAAAGTAGAGACAGCGAAATATACAAGCATATTGTGTCTGGATGTAGTCCACACGTCCTGACGCTATCCCAACGTCCGCATTTAAATCGGGTTATGCAAGTTAGAGGTAACTCTATTTATGCTTGTAAACGGGTTATTCTGATCAACTCAGAAACCCGAATACCGACCTTAACCCGATCATAACCCGGATATTGGCTGCATGTAAACGTAGTCTGTGTAGCTTGTAGCATTTAGCCCATTTAAAAAATGCCATCAGACTTTAATGTTTATGATGAAAAACATCCAAACTTACCATTACAGGTGAACTAATGTACTTTAATTTGATTGCATGAAAACACAACTTTTTTTTTTACTTTAATCTGAAGTAACATTTTGTTCCATTTGTGGGATTAAAACGTTCTTATTTGTGTCACGAAGCTCGGATCAGATGTGAGGAGCATCAGCTGATGAACAGGCTTTCTTATCCAGGTAAACATCTTTTTTCATTATTACATGAAAATCTTTGGTGTAATTAAAATAACTTTAAAGGTGATCTCAGGCTGTTTTCTTTAGTAATCCTCACAGCAGCAGAAGAGGGACAGATGTAGGATATTTATAAGAGCTGAATTTACAGAAACCTGGATCATTTTTCATCACACACTTTTGTGTCTGTTCATGACCCAGTGCTGGACAGGATGGCACAAGTTAGTGAAAACCAGAGGAAGCAAAGTGGGCAGAACTGCATAAGGTAGAAAATACACTTAAGGAGGCAGGTGTTAAAACACAAAGTCAGATTCATAAAACACGGAGACCACTAAGTTATTTACCTGTAGGGACACTCCTCGCCTCTCTTACACTCTCCCTTCACCCAGAAGGAGCAGATATGGGGCCGGTTCCTCTTGTAATATGGAGTAGTGCGGGCCAGTTTGAGCAACATGTCACTGGAGCTTGTTGCCTTCCCCAGCTGGCCTACTGGTCGAGTGCCATCAGAATTGGCTATCTGTAAGCACAATGGAAAATAACACGAGAAAGTTATTTTAACGCTCGTCTAAGATGAAATAAACTGCCACTGACGTCACAAGCTGAATATCTAAAGGGATATTCCATCTCTAAGTGAAATTTAGCCTGTTGCCATATTCTCCAGATTTTGATAAGTGGGAAAAAAGCATTTTGTAACCGGCCCAGTCCTCCTCCTGATCAGGTGGTATTAAATTAGCTTCAGCTTACCACTGGCAACTTTAAGTAAATGGTAACAACTAGCATTTTGTGTGAATAAGTCAAGAAAATTACTCAATAATGATCATAATTTTTGTTGATGAACTCAGTAATCACACTGACGGTAAATAGGCCTGGGACGATAACAAATTTTGCTATCCAACAAATTATTGATGATAAACAATATTATTGACATTATAGAGACCAAAATAACCACTTATGTAATGTTAATGGATCATAATAATGCAAGTACACCCTTTAAAACGCAGCAATGAAACCTTTATTTAACTAACACAAGTGATATATTTTCTGCAGTACTGAAACGCCTGAGCTCCGTTTGTTTCCTTTGAGGTCGTAGAGATCTACGTTACTGATTGTAAACAATTTCTGAAAATACTGTTCTCTAGACTCCTTCACAACTTTAATCCTGTAAGGGATGCGTTCATCCTTCTTCTTTTCATCCATCCTTTTTACTTGTTCTGCTTCAGCTGCAGCTTCCCCTAGCAACACGAGTCATACACCTAAAATGGTGCTAAGGGGTGCGGTTGACATGCAGGTCACGTGTCTGACAAAAAACGACGTATCCAGGCTGGAAAAATTATTGAGTTCATTTTCATCTATCGTATGAATTGATTTATTGATTATTGTCCCAGACCTAACTGTAAATTAAAATAAGTAGCATGGCAGAAATACAAGAGACGATTTTGACTTGGGAAGGCATAATGACAAAGCATCACTGTAAAACTCAGTTTATAGTCATTAGGGTCAAATGTTGTACACGTTGTACAGTAAACTCAAAACTGACCATGTCTGCATAACATCATACAGCTGCATCCTGTCCTTCTGCCTCATGGCGTTGGCTTACAGCAGCGCCAGTGGTTATGCTTGCTTAGTATGAGGATTGCTGTAAAGTTATTGACACTAGTCAGTGACTTGATGCAATTTGCTGGGCTCCTTATGTGAGAAACTTTTTACTGATTGGCTTAATGAACTGACCTGTATTGGAATGTTTACATTGTGAAGTGCCTTGAGACGACTCTTGTCGTGATTTGACGATATATAAATAAACTTGAATTGAATGACCATCCACTTACATTGTTTATGCTAAGCTAAAGCTAACGTAATACTGCCAGGTTAGAAGTATTTGTTTACAAAATGCATTTTCCCACCCATCCAACTCTGGGGAATATGGTAACAGACTGACTTTCACAAAGGGATGGAATATCCCTTTAAGAGAAGATATGCACCACGTTATTTTAAACACTAATCCAACATGGAAGAAGATCAACAAATCCATCTACCAGCTGATTAAGCAGAAAAACAGATCCTGTGATGTTACCTCTCTCTCCATGTTCTGTGTGTAGTACTCTTTATTCACGTCTGACCTGGGAATCTCGTCTTTTACACACACCCCCGTGTCTCGAACCTGGATGGGCAAACCTGTCAACAACAAGATGAAACAAGGGATTCATTTCATACAACTTTTTTTCATAAGTTATATGATAAGAGTGCAGAGCATGGGTCACAAGAGGAAGTGGGTTAGGGAGACCCACCATACTCCAGGTCCAGCAGACACGTCTGACAAACGTTCTTCATTTTACTGCAGGTCTGACAGACTTCTGTCTTCTTGAAACGCATCCGTGTGCCCGGGCACCACCTGAACACCGTAAAGGGTCGAGCACAGATCTGACAGGGAAAAAGAGTAGCAACTTAGTAACAGTATTAAAGGAAACAGTGGCTTATTTCAAACAGCATAAACATAAAATGCAGCACAAACCTTGCATTCTTTCCCATATTTTTCCTTGGTCTGTTAAAAAACAAGGACATGTTTACACCTGAATGCCTAAAAGTACAAACAGAGTAAACTACATCCGGGATAAATTATGACACAGGAGAGCACACTTACCATTCGTATGTATGGATTTTCTCCTAAACATGTCTGACACAGAATTGGAAAATCCTGGGAAAATAAAAGATGTTCATTCAGCAAACTAAGCACAACCTTGTGGAACAGTTTCTTATCCCAAATATCTGAAGCAGAAAGTGCTCTGCCTGGGTATCTTGGTTCATTTACATGTGTGAAAACAAGAATGCAGTGGGAAGACATGTCCTCCATTTAGACATCTGTTAAAGGATGCTGTTTCAGTCTAATGTGAGCTGCTGAACATGACCAGGATTTAATCCATCCTTCTGACAGCTTCGGCCAAAAATCTAAATATAAACAGCTCTTGTAGCTTTAACATCGACTACTTAAGGCTACAGACTTTACAATCGGATGTTTCAAGAAAACCAATTTTTGTTACACACTGTTGTCCAGTATCTCAAAAAAGGCATCTAATGTATTCCCTTATTTAGTAGGGCTGCTTGCCGTAAACATTGCTGTTGAAATAGTAAAAAATTCATATTAATAACTAAACAGTGTACTTTACAAAGCATAACTTGACCAATTATCCAGAAACAAGACTTACAAATGGTAAAAGCAGGTTCTGATTAACCATTGAATAACTGTGTATATCGTGATGATTTTGTGGATGTGCCAACTTTTACGGTCCGAAATATTACCATGACGCCGATTATAAGTAAAAAACGAGTATGTGCTTATCTAGCAGCTAAAAGACTATTGCTATATTTATGTTAGAGCTGTTAGGTATTGGTCTAATTTCTCGTATACTCGCATAAAAAATAAACCGTCATTTTAAAGATATAACAGTAACATTTTACCTAACTACATTCAGGCTACAATGTTAGCCTACTAGCTTGAGTGGCTAACTTTAGCATATTTCGTGTTAACGTAACGGAATAAAATTGGCTTAAAGCCACATCTGAGTGATCGCCACTTACTATATACAGCTTGTTCTGAGATTTTAGTTGGACAAAAATACATGCATATAAATATTTCTGTTCATATTAGATGCTAAACAAAATAGCAGCCACGTTGCTACATATAGCTAACGTTAGCTAGCGGAAGGCTAACTATATACTAAGCAAACTGGGCAGATTTGAAAAACAGCATTAGACAGAGTGTGGTTACTAGTAAATATTTCAATCAGTCGCTCATTTATGTGAATATTATGATCGTAGATTAACGTACCGCGTCCTCCCAATTCTGTCTATTGTAGGTGTTAGATCCCAGGGAAGTCGCCATTTTGCAGAATGTGAGCCAAACACCGACAGAGGTCCACCCACAAAGCCTCGCGTCGCCTTTGGATGTCGCCCTATTTCAAGAAACTATCGTCTTAATTTCACTTCTGAAAATGCCGGTTATAAAATATGTTTTGGCGTTTATCGGTCAGTCAGTAAAACGACTGTACCAACCTGCAGTACAGGAGCCACAACAACGTGCAACGTTAGCTTATTTTTAAAATCTCGCGTGAAAAACATGAGCAAGACAAAGCAGAGAGAATGAGCTGCTGTGCATGAAAGTACATGCACGATTTATTGTACAATAGAAAGTTTTAAGCCACCGCGCCAGTTTAAAATAACTTTATTCCATCCTCTTTTACTGCCACACGAATATAGCCCAGTTTAGGGTCTAGCCACATGGGAGAGCCAATTCACTCTTAAACATTTAAAAATAATGTTTCATTATTTAAAATTGCCCGGTGTGAGTCAAAATATAAGTAACAATTTTCAGAGCAGTGATTACACAGTTATTTAGTTAAATGTACTGAATTAGATACAGGCCTAATCCTTTTCTAATGCTTTGCCTTTAGCTAAACCAAAAGAAGAAAATACACGCTCCAGCATATGCCTCCTGTGTGTGTGTGTGTGTGTGTGTGTGTGTGTGTGTGTGTGTGTGTGTGTGTGTGTGTGTGTGTGTGTGTGTGTGTGTGTGTGTGTTGTGCTTTACTCTGCTAGAATATCTGTGGCTCGACTGATAACATTTCCCATTTAAAATTTCCCATTACAGTAAAATGCAGTGTTGTTATTAAATAGACTGTCAGGAACTGACACTAAGCATTTTTTATTTTTATTAGATAAGCGTGTACTTTTATCAAAACTTAATAAATTATTCATTTGCTTTCTATACCTCTTTGCATTTGAGTGACAGAGAAAAGGGAGAAACAGACTGATTGGCAAACGCTTCAGAGCCGTCTAAGCCTATTGCGCTGACTACTTATAGTTTAGCCATCCACCTGGTTCGAACCTGGTTGGGGTGTCTTTGTTGTGTGAAACTCTGATTAGTGTGGCCAAAGGATGCTGAAGATAATGGCTGGGGACTAAATCCTGAATGTTTATTTAAGTGCAGAGTGAGGTTGTGGTCACAGGGCAGAGATCAGATAAGGGTCTGGAGAGCTCGGGGACGCTCCCCTTTTGGTGACTCCATAGATAAAAACATCAATACTGAACCAACTTTAAGTACAATTCTGTCACTTGCCCTGTGGTCATAATGGAAATTTCCACTGGCCCTCTACCTCTTGCATCCCTCCTTATCTGGGCGAACAGTCGGGATTTTCACCTTATTATTTGTAGGACACCAGAGTAAACCCTCTGAGAATCCCTAATGAGTCATGTGACCTCTCATGTGACATATGGATGAGATGACCAAAGCCGTTTTGAAAGGGGAAGGATTTGACTTGGATTACACTGCTCTGTAATCAAAATCTTTTGAGTCACAAGGTCAGATATGTACGCGTTCAACTATATGTCAGATGCTCATTGTTCCAGAGCTCTGGAGTCCTGTTAGATTTGATAAATACACTCATTTGAATGAGCCAGAGTCTAAAACTAACATCATGATGGAGTTATAGCTGTTTTGAGCAAATCTTCAATAACATGATCTCACACAGTGTTGCAAGATCTCTTGTAATGGGTTAGCACTCAAGAGTGCTGTGAATTCCTCTCAGCATGACAGTGTGGCTCAATATCTATAATAAAGTATTGCAGCCATTTTTGTGTTTGCTGTGAATCCGTTGTGACCCAAACAGGGTAACAGATCTTCAGGGGTGGCCTAGTGACAGTGCCTCTACCCCGGAAAATTACTACCATATTTGACGGCTTTATTACCCAACGAGGATCCATGATGATTTCAAATCTTAGAATAACAAAGTACAGGAAACAGTTGACACAACATTTCCTCTGCCCCTGGCATTGGCGGTGGGGGGGGGGGGGGGGGGGGGGGGGGCATGGCACTTAACATTTAACAGGTCAATCCTCAGCATGCACTGAAATGCACCCCTGCACAATGCTAACTCCACAATAAAACATTGGTATATCTCAAGGTGAATCATAGTAACGGTTAAGGGTGAATAATCTAAAGATTTGTCTTAGTGAGATCATGCAAGGTGAGAAAATGTTCAACTACAGGAATCAGAGCTTGGGGGTTGGACCTGTACGGTTTGAGAATTAGGCTGTCTTTTAACATCCTGGTGACAGCTGCTTTTCAGGGGTGCTGATTTAGATTTCAGGAGTGCTCAGCCACCCTGAAAAACAGCCTAATCCCATCCCTGAAACCTGTGATTACTTATTAAGATTCCAGTGGCTCATCTCACAGAAACATTAATGGTTACATTTTTGGCAAAGATGTCATGAGATTGTGGAACACTCGTGTTGTAAATGATTATAAGCTAATACTACACCACAGTTTAGTGTGGAAACAAGTGAATTAAAGCAATTGTTAAGTGGGGATAGCTATGATTAGCTGTGGAACCTATTCTGATTTGAATTGATCTAGAAAATGAATCAGTTTAAGATTTGAATGAAGAGTCATAGATTTGTTTTTTAATCAAAATCCATCTAGTGGCTCCGGTGGTGGCTCACTAGACAGTTTTCCAACAAACACACAGGCACGTGTTCAGCCATTTAAAAGCGGTAGACGCCGAAGAACGATGCCGAACTGGTTACAATTTTAGTTGTTACACCTGTGCTTTGTTTAATTAGCAGGATGCGTTGATTAAACAATACTTCCAGCTTTTCAGCACAATTGTTTCATGAGAAACCAAAACAACTAAAAGTTTAGCGTCACTAAATGGATGAAAGATTTCTGAGCAGCAGTGGTTTATGTAAAATCTCAACCACTGCAGGAATATGGCCCCCCTCCCTCTTCCCCTCCCCCCCTCGAAGATCCGGGTTGTGTGCGCGCGCATGCGCAACATTAAAAAAAATTGCTGTGCTGGCTGGCGCCTCCTGGAGACAGCTATGGGCTACTGCCGGAGCACGGAGCATCAGGACAGGCTTTCTCACATTTCCCGATTTCTCCCGGCCGAGACCGCCGAACTGCTTCCACACTACGGCCGACAGCCAGTCGAGACGAGGACGAGAGGCCAGCGAGCTTCAAACCCGCATTTATCGCAACCAGCTCGCGTCTCGTCCGAAATCGACGTAAACGAGGTGAGTGCAACGACACAAGAGAAGTCTGCCTGTGTTGATTCCGCTTGGTACACGGCCGAAAAGCTCCGACGCTCGGTCTCCCAGGCCGGGGCTAGTCAAGAGAAGATAGTCTGGCGCAGACGGAGAGGAGGAGGCCAGTTTTTTCCCCCGGCCTGACTCGGAACAGAAAGCCGCGGCGACACGGTGGAGGCTCGCGCTGCTTCTTAGCTGGCCTCGCGTGGCAGTGGGAGAGTGAAGCTAACGTTTTTTTTTTTGTTGATGTTGCTCGGGTCGAAGTGGTTGTGTGTGCGCTCACGGATACAAGAGCCGTGTGTCCGTGTCCGGCTGCTCAGCGCTCTGTGATTTATCGATGGAATTTCTTTTTATCGAGTCGAGTCCGGGCTAACCGAGCTAACGGTGACTAATTTGTCTTAGTAACTTTACAGCGTCTGCGCGTGAGGTGGTTCACATTAAGTTAGTGCTAGGAGGAACCCGGTCGACACACACACACACACACACTTATGCAGTAAAAAAAAAACATGACACAGCGCTGTGTTGGAGTGAAATGGTTTGTGTGAAACCAAAAGGAGGTGGGTTTAAAGATTAGATTGTGAATTGCTTTAACGCTTATCTCATTTGTGGGATTTGGCTTGATCGTCAGCAGTGATAACAAACAGACGGTGTGTTGTGGAATTATGTCATGAAATTAATGACATGTAACGGGCTCGATATTATTTACTCAGCAGTGTTTACCAAACCACGTCACTTGATCTTCAAGCTGTATAAAATAGAACAATTTGATGTCCAAATATTCAGCTTTTATTGTGTTTATTTTAAAAATAAACAAAAATCACTTCATTCTATTATTATTATCTATGATTATATTCTTAGTTCCTATATTTGCGTATCTCTTATCTCTTTTTATCTTTAATTTTTTTGCACCAATCACCGCAGCAATTTCTTAATGTTGTGATTCTCGCACACATGACAATAAAACCCGTCTGATTCTGATTAGTGCCTTTGCTGCTTTAGAAATTCCTGCAATATGGCGACTCTGTTGTGGCGTTAAATTGAGTCAGTCTATACTGGAGCTGCATCTACTAAACTCTATTAACACTTTGCTTTATAAAGGGAGAAGTGGGGTCCGTCAGGACCTGCTTGAAATCTTTTGCCTTGGGGTGTAAGCGGGTGCACGCTTGCACCAAAGTAAGACTACTGAAAATGAATGACTCACGCTTAAAATGTGTTTGGCAAAGTCACAAGGACTTCTCCCCGCCTTTCGCCCTCAGCTGCAGAGCGAACTCTTGCAACTGCAATTTGCCGTCCCTCTGGTTCCATGAGATTTATTTGACTGGTGTTTTCACATTATTGTTATCCTCCAGCCATGTGTCGTTTATCACATGCTCCACCCTGCATTTATGGAAGCGGGGGATAGGGCTTATTCCATTTGGAAATTACTTTTTTTTTTTAAAAAAGAACAGTTGCTGTCATTTGTTTGTCAATTTTGCAGAGAGCTGAATCTTAAGTTGTGTTCTGTTTATCCATGCCAACTGGTTGTCTGTTTGTTCTAAACCCCCATCTGACTGCTCTCATTGGCTGCCAAACACACTGTGTTCTGGTTTTCTCGGTTCGATGAAGTGCTACCACTTCTTCTGCACGCATCCGATCACATATCTGCACATTTTCTAATGTAGATATACCTGCAGTATGCTGCAGAGATGCCAATCTACACACAGATGTGGTCAAACTGCCGCAAGAACTTTTGATAAATCATATCGCTGAGTGGTATTTGCACAGTGTGCCTGAATGAGTAATTATGATATTTTTGTCAGCAGAGCTTTTAGAGCTGAAGAAGCCATAGAACGGTTGTTTGTTGCTTGGAGCTACTTTGTTGTTATTTCTGTCTAAAGGAGAATGTCATTTTGATCGCAACCAGGTGCGGTAACGCTACCACGACTTCTAATTCTAAACAGAGTAATTGTTGGGAGTTACAGGATCCACGACATGCCAGCGCTTGTGTTTTTCCATGTCAGTGCCCCTTGTAGGCTCTCGGTGTGGGGAGCAGACCTCCCTCCAGAGTGAGGCTAAAGCAAGGCATCTTTCCAAAGCCTGAGTTCCCCCCACCCCCCTGCCTTCTCTGCTGGGTATAAAAGCACTGCTTTGTGCTTTAGTACTGCTCCTGATGGTATTCATTCATATACTACTACAACAACAGTTCTTTTGCTACATACAGAAATCCACATTTTGAAATCCACCCAAAATACCCTGTTGTTTCACCCGCAACATCTCATGTTTCCTCATTAAATCTGGCTTTTGGATTAATTTGCCAGAATGCAGACTGCAGATTGTAATAATGCTTTTTGAGTGTAAGGCATTTTATTTTTAAGTGTCTTTCTGCCTTGATTATGGATATGGGGTATTATTTTGGCTTAGGCTGTGTCATCATGAGGGGTATTGGGAGAGCAGGAGCAAAGTAAACACATTTGAAACAGCTCAGCAAAACTGAGCATTAACAAATGATCTGATAGCGTCTGTAATCCTCAGGAAAACCTGGAGAGTTGTGTTTTTTTTTTTTGAGTGGTGCTAGTCTCCATTAGACAGTTGGCAGGCTTTGGGGGTGTCCACATGTGTGACTGTCTGGCTAGGCTAGCTACAAGGCTGAATGCTACAGTATGCAGGCAGATCAGATTACTGAACGATTAGCCATGGCCTCCTATCCGCGGCCCAGGGAAATGATTTTCCACTGTCATAATTCCCTAGAATGAATTACGCAGGGTAGTGACTCAGAGATACTCAATACTACGGCCCTGAGTACTGCGTGGCAGAACTGTTGTGCTCTGGAGGGGGGGGGAGCCATGTTCTACCATTGTTGCACCAGAGCAGACAATAGCTCTCTCCTTTTAATTCACGTCTGGAATTTCTGGGTTGCTGTTGAGAGCTGCTGTGTCCCCATCATGAGCACAGTTCTGTTTGAGTTGGATTCCGATTTGATTTATTTGTTTGAAAGGGTGCAGCACATTCATTAGCATATAAACAAATGGATCATTTCCACCCAGTTCCTTGTGTAATTGTGTGATTATAAACTAAACCACTTATAATCTCAGGTGCCCGTGTGGGGGTGCTAAATCCATAGAACGTGTGTCGGAACAACTTCTCAAACATTAACGAGTATAAGGGAGAACCTAAAGTCTCCCGTAGTTCTAAAAAGCACCAAACTGAACTTTATCTTGGAGCACATCCTCTTTTTGTAAGTCTTGTGACTAAGGTTTGAATCTAAATGTAAAGTTAGATCTTATGAGACACCCTGTCTTCTCCTGAGATAAAACACCAGTTTATTTATTCCTTTTGGACAGAAACTTATCAGCTGTTTTTATACATCTGTTAGGTCAGCACATTGGTTCTAAGCATAATGTCCCCACCTTCTATCTGTTGTTCAACAGTGAAGACAAAATATCCTGTTTGCAGGCGCTGCCATGTTGTATTTTTGGAGTCAGACACCACACCCTCAGGATGCGGCGCTGAAAGTCCCACCCAGTCACTTAATTATTAAACACAGGCTATGGATATAAGGCACATCTTGAATAAATGAAGTGATTTCTATATTGATGATGACGTGTAACATGATGCTGTGCGTTTAGTGGAAATTCTGCTGAAACCTTTTTGTGAAACAATTAGCTAGGAGAGGAAAGAAGGCTATCTCACTTCCTCGTGTGTTGGGTTTTCGTGCATTTTCTTGTGATTCCGTTGTCTTTTGTAGAATAGACTATTATTCCCACAGTGGGGAAATTCACTTGTTACAGCAGCACATACACTTGAAGAAAATGAAGAAATATAATAAGATTACAGGTAAACACACAAAGGCAATAAGTTGAAACCTTCAACCTCTAAAAACAACAAATAAAAAGGAAACTTGTATTTCCAGAACTACGCAGCATGAAGGACACAGACATACTAATGTACATCAGGCATTGCACAAGTATTGAACACATACTGAATATTGCATTACTGATATTGTGTATCAGGATAATGCCAGTACCAGTTAAACTGAGGAGTTTTATTGCAGAGGGGATGGATGACCTACGGCAGGGGTAGGGAACCCTGTTCCTGGAGAGCTGCTATGCAGCATGTTTCAGAGACTTCCCTGCTTCATCAAACCTGATTCTAATCTGCAGGTGGTTAACCGGCATCTACAGAGCCTGATGAGCTGCTGAACCGGTGAATCAACTGTGTTGAGGCAGGGAAACGTCTAAAACGTGCTGGACAGTGGCTCTCAAGGAACAGGAGCATTGTTTTACTTCCGGGATGTTTCAGTCTTTCACTGAAGGAGCTGTTCATGACCTCCACAGTGGAATGCAGAGGGTGGGAAGCGTTTTCCAAGATGGAGGTTATCTTCCTGAACATCCTCCTTGCACATGTCTCTTCAACTGAATCTAGTTGGCAGCCCAGAACCAAGCTATCTTTTTGACTAGCTTGTTCAGACTAAATGTACTGAAACACTGAAATTACAGACTTTGTGCTCAATGTTAAATGTATAATGTACATGCTACAAACCTCATTATTACAGTTCTCTGCAATGGCAGACAAAATACAGTCTCTTGGTCATTGTGAACATCTGTGTAAAGAGTTAGAAACATGCCAGTTATTAAGAAAATCTCTACTTTATTAGATCCTGTCCAAATATTAAACGATTCCGCTTGCCCAGTTCTGTTGTTCTTATTGTAGTCTCTGCTGCGCATGTACTGCTACATTCTTGCTGTAACAGAGTGCCAGGTGGCCTGATGGAGCTTTTCTGAGTGTTGTTGGCTCACCCAGTTCAGTGCCTGCATCCAAGTAGTGATGGCTTCAGAGCGCTAAATAGGGCTGGACGATAGAGAACAAAAGTTTATCAATGTTGGTTACGTTATCAGACTTGGTTTTTATTGATTCTCTGGAATTTTTACAAACCACCATTTTGTTTTTTGTCAGACTTGTAAGAATGAAAACATTACCACACTGATGAAGTACTGTAACCTTTTTTGGGA